TCTACTATTGCTTTGCATCTTTCGGCTGCCATAAGTAACGGGGGGGAGGGGGGGATAAGTATGGGAAGTGAGCTGGAGGTGGTACAAAGTGGCATTGTATAAACTGCGGGGGGACTGCTTAGGTTTCTATTTCTTGCTTTGCTTTCTTTTCTCTGCGTAGCTGCAAACCTTTATCAAAGCATGCCAAGGTCAACGGACAGAAACTTCATCACCACCTGAAGATGTCCACATGATGATATTCACAACTTTTAATTGGAAGAATCATTTGAACTATTGGGGGCGGGATCAACTCCATCACTTTGTATATGTGATTTACGCGCCTAATTCCTCCGATTCAGAATTCTATAGTTGCTACCCCTTCATTTCCAGTAAAAGAGATCTTTTCTCTAATTAAAAGAGTCTAAGTATTTCTTTCTTGGATTTTGAATGGAGCACTGCCTGACATTAAGTTTAACAGGCAAGCTCCCTAGAATTATGTAGAGCAGGGGTGTCAAACTGGCAGCCTATGGACTAGATGTGTCACGAGCAGACCACACACACCCCAGCCCCGCAAAGGCAAAAAACACTGAGATATGTAATGATATGTCACATGACGCAATCAAGTTTGACACCCATGATGTAGAGTATGTTTCTAGTAGAATCCATTGTATCTCCTTGTCCCCTTAATGAGAAGCCAGGGTTAGTTACTTGTAAATACCTTAAAGCAATTTGTACCACAATTGAGAAGGGTAGTTAAAGTATAATTAAATTAGAATTCTGAATCAAACATGGTAGAAAACAGCAGTTCCAAGATTTCATAGGAAATAGGGAAGGAACTAAACTTCTGATGCAGTCAGAAGTTTAGAATTTGTCATAAACACAAATGCTCAATTTCTGTTTGAAGAACAATTTTGCTACCCATGAAAAAGTACCAACTGTATTTTAAGAGCTTTCTTTCAAATATCCAGGTAGTTTTCTAATGCAGAACTGAAATTAGAAACTATCCTCTCAAGAACAGAAATTTAAATCTGACAAATAATACAGTTCAGTCTGGTGACTATAGGGTGGCTTCTTCTTACTATATCAAATAATTGTAGAACCCAGTAATAAATGGCATGTTGATGCGTAATTCCTTTGGTAATTGTTAAGACCCAGTTTAGACTAAGGCAATGAGATTATTAGTGGACTAGAACACTAAGTCAAAACATGAATTCAATCAAATCACCTGTCTATCGGAGAAAACATTATACTACCTGTAGTATTTACCTATATGTAAATAATCTGAAATCGCTTATGCTAAGTATCACTGAGTCTTTTCCAAAGCCTACTTTAAAAGCCATCCCTTTCTAAATGTAGAAGGCAGATATTCAAAATAGAATATGGTAAGTACTTATAAATAATATCTCTACAATATTGTTTAAATATTTATTAGAATTATAATAATCGGAGGTAGGCAGTAGTATATAAAATACAAATCTGCATTGAAAAGGTCTGGCTGTAGTTCCATAATAGAGTAACACGGAAATATTATACTTTTTGTTGTCTCGGAAATTGTTGGATAGTTCAGCCGTGAGTCATTGAAATATTTTCATAATACAGTTATATCTCTGGGGTGATTTAACAATAGGCTAACAGTTAAAATGTAAAACATACACATCATAAAAGTATCATCAAACAGCAGGATTAAAATTGCATCTAATTACTAGGAAAATGAAATGTTCTTTCTTTACCATGAGAAAGGCATCAAGTTGCCTTCATAGGAGTAAATCGCATAAAACAACGTGGCCATGGTGGGTGTGACCTAGTTGGCCTCCTGCACCTCAGCAGGTGGGGCGTTTTTGCCGTCCCTGGGCTCCAGAGGCGAAAATGGCTTCCCTGGGCTCCGGAGGCTCTCTGGAAGATGGAAACAGGCCCATTTCTGGCCTTCCCTAACTTCCAGGAGGCCTGTACTTGGCCCTCCCTGAGCCTCCATGCGTGCCTTGCACTTACCTGCATCCAAAACGGGCTGCGTAGGGACTCCTGGGAGCATCGGGTAGGGTGGGCAGGGCCAACCAGGAGTGGGATTTCGGGGTTCTCCAAACTGCACAGAAACTGAGCTAGGGGCTCTCCAGAACCCCTGTGAACCCCCAGCAGCCCACCCCTGGACTCTTGTCCTTGAAGATGTTTCACTTTGCACCAAATGTCTTAAACCTACCCCTCCAGATAAGATCTACCGTCTCGCTGGCATTACCCCGCCTGCTGTTCACAGAGAAGAAGAGGCATACAGAAAGAAAGAGACTCAGATCATCAGTATCTAGACTACAATTCTCTCTATGGCCAACAACCAACTCAACAGAGACTAAAATTCAGGAAAAGCTTCCTTAGGTCAATGGAAGACTTTGAAAGCAGAGTGGATCTATGGAAAGCTACAAAGAACCAACCCCAGATGGAACCCACAGAGAAACTGGCACCTGAGTCTGATCAAAGCTGGGAAGTATGGAAATTATTTAATAGATGGGTACAACAAGATCCAGAGACACTCTGAACAAATGGGCTATCCGATTGCTTCTGCTCTTTGCGATTGTGGTGACATGCAGGCAACAACATATATGTATACCTGCCCTTTGTGCCCCAATCAGCGTATACTTGAGGACTTCATGGCAGCACAACAGAACACAATTAATGTTGCTAGTTTCTGGGAAAGATCTGTTTAATTTGTGAATATTTTAATCTTGAATTTTAAATTGTATATCATATAGTATGCCTTACTTTAATTGTGATGCTTTTGACATGAATAAAAAAACAGTAATGGGCCACATTCAATGCCCAAGAATGAAATATTTTTACTAGATGAAGTTTCTGGACATAATTTTAAATGTGAAGGATTACCTTCCTTTTCCCAATTCTGATCTGAACGAAAATGTAAGTCCATTAATGAAAGACAAAGAGTTTTTGTCATGACAAGAGGAACTTTTTTGTACCGCTAATTGAAATACGGAAGAGAAGCCATTTTCATCAGGATGGTTTCCCTGCACTTTGGATTAATTTTTAAAATAACCCTTAACCACTGCTACTATGTATGCATGTTAAAGCCAGCTACATTAACCTCTGCAGCACTCACTATACCAATCATGGGATCCTATGCATGATTTACTTGGAAATAAGTCCAGCTGTATTCAATAGAACTTACAGCCAACTAAGGAAGAGACTTTAATTTTATGCTTAGTTAATGTGTATGGATGACCCATATTATATAGGTCTTACAAAATAGCTCTTCAGAAATCAAGATGGCAAAGATAATCCTGTTAAACACAAAAGAAGAAAGTGTATTATCATCAAACATTTCAAGTTTAATTAATTCTTCTCCATTATTATCTTGCTGCTACATCGCTATCACCCAAGGAAAATTTGTAGAGCATTGTATTTCTTTTCCTTCAAATGCAAGTTGCATCATTTAGTATCTTTTAAATCCAAGCCACATACAAAATAATGAAATCAATATAAAATCAGACTCAAAAAGGAAGACAGCCTAAGCTGGCAGGAATAGCCAACATCCCCGAAGACAAGCTCAGAATCCAAAAAGATCTTAACAAACTTGAACAACGGGCCCTTATCCAATAAAATGAAATTTAATGTGGAGAAAAGCAAGGCTTTACACTTAGGCAGGAAAAACCAAAGGTACAACTACAGTTTAGGCAAAACCTGGCTCAAAAAAAACCAGTAATTGTGAGGGACCTTGGAGTCCTACTGGATGATGACTTAAATATGAGCCCGCAGTATACAGCAGCAACCCAAAAAGCTAAGAAAATCCTTGGTTTGAGACATAGAATCACGTGGTGTATTAGTACTGCTTTATAAAGCCTTAGTAAGGCCACACCTGGAATAGTTCCTTCTAGTTTTGGTCGCCAAAAAAAAATGTTGAGATTTTGGAAAAAGTGCAAAGAACAGCAACTAAGATGATTAAGAACTTGGAGATAAAAACATATGAAGAACCGTTACAGGATTTGGGTTTGGCTAGTCTAGAAGAAAGACGATATTAACAGTATTTGAGAGGTTGCCACAAAGAGGAAGCGATCAACTTATTTTCCAAAGCACCAGAACAAGAAACAATGGTCAGAAACTAATCAAGGAGAGAAGCCATCTAGAATTAAGCAAAAACTTCCCTAACCGTGAGGACAATTAACCAGTGGGATCGCTTTGCCATCAGAAGTTGTGGGTGATTTATCACTGAAGTTTTTTTTTAAGAAGAGACCGGACAGTCACTTTCTGAAACAGTATAGGGTCCCCTGTATGAGCAGGAGGTCCCTTCCAGCTCTATTCTGGCTGATTTCATTAGCAGAAGAGTCTTATCTTAACTTGTAGGTTACCACCAGGGGTAATATCGTAGGAACACCTTCTAACCCTTCTTGCTTCAACTATTTTATTTCTCAGACAAACTTAGCACCTAACCCAATGCCAGGAAACATCTACGGCATTGCAAGGCACCCGTACTGCCTTTCCGGATCAGCTACCTAAGCTAGTAACGATACTCGCAGGAAGAAGATCGAGGGAGAGAAACACAAGCCTATTACAACTTCCCACTCGACCCGGGAGTGAAGTTTCACGTACTTCTGCATTCCTCAGCAGCCTAGGAATGTGGGAGGCGTCGCAAATAAACAAAAAAAACCAAAACAAAACAGGAAAACGGGACCGACAGAGAAACTCGAGGTTTTTTGGGGGGGGATGTACCTATGGTGTTTTGAAGGGATACAGATACAGATCATCAGAGTTGGAAGGGACCTCGTAGGTCATCTAGCTCAACCCCACCCATCCACCCCCGGCCCAAGCAGGAGACCCTACACCGTTCCTGACCAATCTCTTCTTGGCGCAAGTGAAAAGACAACGGGAAGAAGCGATCCCCAATCTCGCCTTGGGCTCGAAGCTTCCCCTCCGGTTTCCGCGCGGGACGGGCAAGAGGCCAGCCTGGGAGGCGCAGAAAACTCAAAACCCAAACCGGGGTGGGGTGTCTCGGCCCTTCTAAGAAAACTATCCCAGCAACTCACCGCAAGGGAGCGAAGTCCGGCAGCTGCTTCCCGCCGAAGTGGCGCGCTCCGGCCCATCATCAGGCCCCGAAGGAAAAGGGGGTTTTGCTTGGGACATCCGTCAGTCCTCTCCCTCCTGCCGAGTCCTGCAAAAAGCTGCCCCTCTCTCCTTTCCGCAAAGCTAGGGCGCAACCCTGAAACCATAAAAAATAAAATAAAAAATGGGAGTGTATCAAATGGATGCAAAGCACCCTGAAACGCCTCCCACGTTTTAGTCGGAGGAAGCAAAATATTTGTTGCCAAAAAGATCTCTCCGCCCCACCGGCAACTGGAGGTCAGGCGCGGTGTTGGGCACCGACTTCAAACGTGCAAAGCCGGGCCCGTAAGGAGCTAAAATAGACGCTGAAAATAACCATCACCTCTCCCCCAAAAAGCATCTTTACTTTGGGACGTGTCTCCCCCCTACCCCTTGGGGAAGGAAAACTTTGCGAAAGCGGTTCTTCGCACTCTCTGCCCGAGTACGCCTCGCTATTGCCAAGTAAAACTAAGGACTAATCCGTACAGTTACCTCATATTATTACCTTTATTGTCAGAGTACAACATGTCTATAATATAACACGGCTCATCTTCCACTTCTGCAGCACATCTGTGCAAAATTACACTTCGCCTTCTCCTGTTGGGAGAAGAACCTGGCTGCAAAAACCAGGTATAATGTAGTCATCATTCCATCCAGTGGAAATTTATAAAGCATTTTATAACTGAACCTAGAGCTTAAAATAAATATATATATATTTGTTTGGGTATTTTCCCACGTCATTGTAGTTGTGCTTTTAAAGTTGTAGCGACGTTTCAGCAGAATCTCATCTGCCATCATCAGGCTTCTGTATAGTGTTCATCACACATATATATGAACTAAACAGACATACATTTACATATTGAAAATACAGAGTAGGGCAGGGGAAAGAATTTCACCTTTTCTGTGTGAAGCAGAGGTGAGTCTTGGTGAATGCATGAGCTACTGTTTCCTGATAAAATGAAATACCAATGTATTAAGCAATTTTGCACCAACTTTTGTGGCTCAGCTGGAGGAAGCACCAATCGAGAGATGGAATTCCTATCTGTTTCAGACTTCCAAAATCAGCAGGAGTGAGACAAGTGTAGGGGGGGAAATGCTGTATGGAAGTTATTTTCAAACTGTAGATCTGGTCTTTCACTGCAAGTGCAATCACATCCAGGATAGATATTGTGTGCCTTGGGGACTATGACAGTTCTTTGGCAGCATCAGGGTTTGGTTCAGTGGTGGGATTTAAATTTTTTTACTACCGGTTCTGTGGGCATGGCTTGGTGGGCATGGTGTGGCTTCGTGGGTGTGGTGGGGGAAAGATACTGCAAAATCCCATTCCCTCCCCACCCCACTAACCTGCTTTCCCGCTCCGTTCTCCTGTGCGGGGCAACCAAAGAAGACCCAGCCAATGAGCTGGGACTTGGGAAGCAGAGAATAGATGGAGGCGGGCCAGTCAGAGGTAGTATTTGCCGGTTCTCCAAACTACTCAAAATTTCCGCTACCGATTCTCATGAACTGGTCAGAACCTGC